AATCAGGTATTAATTGAATTATTAATAATATTCTGTATCTTTTCCCTCTCTGCAAGTTTAGATTTCTCTCTCTCTCCACCCATTTCTTTTCTCTCTCTACCTATTTCTCTTTTTTCTTCATCGGTGTCGGCGTTCTGAACCGACAACTATCAATCACTAGTCTATCTACTCAATTTGCCTAGTGACACTCCGAAATGCACAATGTGGCGGTGCTTGTATTTGAGCACCGCTACAGTGAACTGTGCTCGCGCTTAGATCTTAACCGCTGTAGTGGTACTCAATCAGCCTCGAGTGGCCTTTTGTTTGGAGGTTCAATAGCTGTTGTAGGTGGTGGTGGGATTTTGAGATGACGACGCTGTAGTTGTTTGATGTAGGTGTTAGGTAATGTTGCTGCAGTTTTTTGGTATTGATGTTGATATTGTGGTGGTGGTGGTGGTGGTGGTGGTGCTAGGGTTGGGACTCTTTCAGATCGATGTTGTGAGATAGCTAGACGGTGGTGTGGTGGTGATCTTGGTGTGGTTATTTTGATATCGTGATTTTTGAGATAGTGGTGTGGTTGGATGCGATTGTTGTGGGTGTGTGTGTTGTGGGTGCAATTGTGATGGCTCTGTTGGTGTGCAATGGTGTTGACTAATTGATGTGAGGTGGTGGGGATGGCTTTGGTGGTGGTGGTGTTTGACAGTGGTTTTGTGTGTGGTGCGGTGTTGAGATGATGATCACAAATGGCGGTAGTGATCGCAAATTATTTGGTTGATTGTAACCAATAAATTAGTTAATTTGTGACCAATAAATAATACGTGACCTCAAATTTTGAATTGTAACTTATAAAATTTGTCATTTATGACTGATAAATAAATATGGCCTATAAATTTTTTGATTTGTGACCATAAAATAACATGTGATCAATAAAAAAGTTGTGACCTATAGGTATATATATGTGGCTGTTAATTGTATAATTGCGATTTTAATATATTTAATTAATAAAATGTTTTTAATTATTTATTTATGACCAGAGTTTTGAATTTTGAAACTTTAGACTCGAAAATTGAATAGACCATAGTTAATACTTGAGTTGTGAACTTTTCCCTTTAAAAGTAGTTGGACTTTCTTTTTGTAATTTATATATTATAAATATTTCATGATAATTTATATATTTTAAATACTACATATTATACCAAAAAAAAAAAAA